TTGCAACCTATTCCACAAAAGTGATGAGAATTTTTATACCATCACCAACAACAGCAAAAGCAAATCATTCCAGACAGCTTTCTATCTGTCATGCTCTGGGCCAAACTTTATGTGCTGTATCTCATTTAATTCTCATGGCAACTTTATGAGCTAGAGGTTGATTTCCCTTTCACTGTCCAGATGAGGAAACGGAGGTTTAGGAAAGTGAGGTAACTGTTTCAAGTTCATCGTGAGTTAGACTTGAAACCAGGCTGGTTGGATGCCTATGCCTCTTTTCCAAAAAATGATATAATACCAGTCAAAAGCTGCATCTTCCCATAAAGGCCTCTCCATGTTTCAGACTTGGCTTATGCTACAAGATCAAAAACCATTCTAACTCCCTGCAAAGAGATCTAGGTTAGCTCTGTGGAAGCTGAAACTATCCTCTGAAGCCTCTGAAGGTGTCTATAGACATTTTTAAGTAGTAAAGAACTACTAGAAGCACATTGGTTTAGTAGATAATAAAGTGGCTTCACATCCTAATTCTGTCTCTCAGTTACTGTGTGACCTCAGGAGATTTGCTCTGTTTCTCTGAGCCTGAGTAAAATGTGGATAAGAATAACTGCCTCAGAGCTGATATTTGTGAATGTGCCAGCACAACCCTGGTACATCCCTCAAAGCTGTTCTCTTGAAAGGCAATTGGCCACATCACCTTCTAAACAGAATAAAAATAAATAAACAAATCTGATCGCTTCCTCAGTGAGCATCCAAAATCGATGAACGATACCTAATAGTTTTGAGAAAAGTATGGCAATCCACATACATATGGATATACTAAGTGCTCTAGCTCTCTGAACACAACCTGGCACTTTATATCTTTTCCCTGCTCTTTCACACCACACACACACACACACACACACACACACACACACCCCAATTGAATCCTGCTGCAACCTTATCTCCCTGATTCTCAAACACATGCCTAACACTTGCTCAAATAATATATATCTGTTCTCCAGCCAGTTATAACATGGACAGTGAAAAACACAAGGATTTGATGGAGATAAAGCACCCAAGAGAGGCTGAGAGGCTGGGAGCTACTTGCTTAGCGATAGAGGATTCCTGTCACAGAGAAAGTGGAAGAGAGCAGACAAGGTCCGCTCTGTTTTCACTATTTGGTTGGCTCCGAGATAGGTGGGGCCCCACTTCTTATAACACTGAATTTCACATGGCTTTTTTATGAGCAAAGGGTCCATTTCTACATTGCACCTCTGGATTTAAAAGAGGAAATTTCAACCTCAGAATAATGTTTTCTGCTGAACAAAATGTATGCCAAACTAAGCTCTGACTTCTGGTTTTCTGAGTCCCAGCCTCCAAAGTTTTCTCAGGTTTCCAATCCTGGACCCAACTCACTGGCTTCCACCATTTCCTCCTGTGGTACAGTTAAGAGGGAAAGGGCTGAGAAGTGTGAGTACCCCTTCTCATGTACAGTTGATAGATTTGGGGATGCCCAAAGACCCAGAGAATTGCTTCAGATTCATTTACCTAGGCGTGGCTGGCTCCCCCCRGCTGGACTTCTGAGTGGGCACCAATGAATTTTCTTGGGAATTATGGGAAAAACAACTCTGGCAAGAAAGGGGAAATCAAACTAAACAGTAAGACGTCTGGGCCTCCCTCCCTTGGGCCCATAAAAGATCATTTTGCAAGGCAGGAGAAGGCTGTGCTTTGTTTTGTCAGTAAACAACAAAGCACATGCATCTTTAACCTAAACTGCCTACCTCTTTCCTGAGATCTTGGAACCTGGTCCAAGGCTAATGCCTCCAAATGCTACTCCTTGAGTAGACAGGACCTGAAGCATTATGGGCCACCTACTTTAAAAGGTGGTTCCATCATCCACTAACAAACAGGTTATTCTTAAACTGTGACTGGTTCTGGCAAGATGCTCAAGTCTAGGCAGACGGTGATAAATGAGAATAAAATTACGCAGTGGCTACTGCAGCCACTGTCATCCTCGAAATCKCCACAGAAATGAGCTCATTCCACCTTTGAAATATTCCGGAGCTTAAAATTTTAAATCAGGCCAAGCTGATCTTGTGGGGTTTTGCAAGCTTCAACACTGTAATTATATGTAGGACTTTGTGCCACTGATTTCCTCCCAACTGTAACATTTTACATCTTTTTTTAAGCATACGTTGAGGTTGGTTTTTTTTTTTTTTTTTTTTTAGTACATGTTATGAAATAAGATATGAGCTTAAGCCCAGCCTTAGGTATCTTTCTGCCAAAAGGGTGGACCAACACAAACTAAATATGACTATTTTCTTTATCCAAAGTTCAGTTGAGACTATTACGTACCTTCTTAATATACATAAACCTAACTCAACACCAACACTCCCTGCAGGTCAGCTGAAATCATAACGAGATTTTCCTTTCATATAATGTGATTAATAAATGTTAACTAACCAAACTCCCAAAAGACTCCAGGAGAAAAAAAAAGTAATAATTCATGGAATGCCAAAATGTAAAATAATTTAAATGGTCTTTTATCCCCTCTTACCCTGCCTCTTTCTCCTGCCTTTAAATTAACAAATAGCCTATTTATTCTGCTTCTAGGCTAGTGATCTAGAGACAGACAAACCTGAGACTGAGTGTCAGCACTGCCATTCTAGTGAATAAAATAGTAAATATCATATATAAGTTGCATATAAAATGCAACTTTCACTAGCTACCTAGCCTCCTACATTTCCAGTTTCCTCATTTGTAAAACAGAAGGAAAAGCCCTCAAAGGATTTTTGTGGGGATCAAATTAAATAAAGCAGGCTTAGATAAGTGCCTGGAAAGTAAAAAGTGTTTCATAAAATGTTTGCTTGCTAATATTGTCAATCTGCTAAATATATCTACTTTTCAAACTAAGTATAAAAATGCCAAGCAGCCTCCTGGCCAAGTGGCCAGATTTGAAATCCATGGAATACAGTAGGTCCAACARAAAACCACAATAACATACATAAAGAGAAAAATGGTCAGCTATCTATCTGACTCAGTTTTACCAAGTCACTGCAAAGGTTTGGAAGCAATAATGACTGTGACAGCTTGGGCCCATAATCCTAAATCCCTGCAAAGGTCATGGTGACATATCACTGAGCCGCTAGCTAAGGAAAGAGCTCTATGGGCCTCCTGGATAATGGGTGAGTCCAACTGCCAAGGTCCTAAGAAAGGACTTCTGACAGCATCCAAGGCAGATAGATGCCTCCAAATGCTGCCTAAATGTTACAGATATAAAGATCTACTACACTTAGGTAGGCAATTGATTTAAGTTTTCTTAAATAACTATCATTCTCATTCAAATTCCAACYGATGCATCTTTTTTCTTCACATTTTTATCTCTTCACACTTTACCTTCAAAACTACAGGATTTTAACACCTATTTCCCTATTACTAAAATCTCCACTTTCCAAGAAGGGCACTATTTCYCACTGGGGTAGAGTACTGAAAAGGAAGAACACCATGTGGGGAATTCTTCATAATGTTATTTGGGAGCCGTATGCAAAATTCAAACTGTGTATTTATTTAAACTTTATAAATAGTAATATTGCCAAAGAGAAAAACAATGTTTTCACATGTGGAATTCTCAGCATATTTAAATATTACTTGGTCAGGACAATTTTCACTGAAGAGAGTAAGATAAAATAATTCATTCACGTTATCCAGATGAAGGAAATGAAAAAAAGATACAMACGCACAGAGAGCATTTTTAAATCTGCAACGGGGAATAAAAACTTAAAACTTCTTTTCAACAAGTTCTTTAGTAAAGATCATTAACATAGCAGCTTATAACCACAAAATCTGAAGAATCCCGTTTCTTAGCTCTTTTGATTAGGCAGCAGTATTTATCATCTGAGCAAATGTGATGTCTTTTTACTTGTTTCTGTCCGGTTTCCTTAGTCTTCGAAGTCGAGCAGGCTATATCATTAGATATAGGCCTTCACCTTCTCATCTTCACCCATTTGTCATTTTACAGCATTAACTCATCTCTTATCAGGAAAAGATTTGGCTTTAAGTCCAGATAGCTTGGCTTTTGCCTAAATAGAGATGGATCCTCTCTCCAGTTCCATAGTGCATGCTGATCTGGTAACAAATATCCATCTATCACTTTTGGGCTTTGCATTTGACTGCCTTAATGTACTTCCAACAGGGGTTTGTGATGTGTAGTTTTTGAGTAAGCTTTGCCAAAAGTGATTGGCATGGTAAAAYACTCTTCAGCAAAAATGCTGTTCTTTCTGATTCATCTAAGAATTCTTATTTATATAACTTAATCTTCCCCAAGTGGTTACTTATTAGACTTATCATTAACTATTAAGTTAAAGTAACTTGAAACAAWTTATTTGTTTGAATCTACTATCATCAGCCAGTGATAACTAAGTAGCTGTCAGCTAAGCATCATTTTCTATTAAGAATGAAATTGGTCTTTCTGATTATGCTTCCAAATCAGAAATGCAGACTATATTTGAGAGGCTGGTGTATAACAAGCAAAGAAGTCTAAGAAAGAAATCCAAGATTACATCTTGTCTTCATGTTTGTCCTTTGTGGGAGTCATCTCTCTTATATACCTTATCCTTGACCTTTATGCCTAAATGTTATCTCATCATTTTCCTGMTGAGCTTAGATGATAGAACCAATGCAGAAAGTTTGGTAGTTAACAATGATTTGGTAGCAGTAGCCATTAGGAAGAATAAACATTGAAAAATGTAATATTCATTGAAACAGTGTCATACAAAGTCCATCTTACACTTACTTCTGTAAAGATGATATCAATGAGAAGAATTMTAAGCCTGATAAAATGGAAATTGCCAGAACCCAAAAAACTCAGAAAATRAGCCGAATTCAATACACAAACTATGTCACAGTTATATTTAATTTTGTGATAACTAAAAACAAATTTTAAGATATGATTATATTATTACATTTAATGGATTCACCTTGTCCACAGAGCAATTGAGTTCATTTTACCTGATCTCCACACTTACCAAGCACACACACATTATGCAAGGGTTGTCTGTGATAAATGGAATCTGTAGAACTTCACCCTCATTTTCACATTTTGCAACAGAACCTGAAAAGAAAGAAAAAAAGATTTTATGTAAACCTTTTTTTGGCATTTTACAAAATCTTAAATTTTCACATTAGTCCTTCTTGAAACATCTACCCAAATTCCAGAAATTCTTAGTGAGTTTTGTTATCAAACTCACCAAAAAAAAAAACTCCTAAAATGTATTTTAAATAGTTTCATTTAAACAGATTTAAAAAAAACCCCACTGTAATATGTTGATAGATCTTCTATTCTCAGATGTTAAACACAATTCCAAGTATTTAACTGAATCTTTAACTTCTGCTTTGTGAAAATATTTCATCTAGGCACACACCCCCACATGCAAAAAATTCAAATTGACCATTAGGGAAGATTTTTAATTCGAAATAAATTCAGGACKCTGTCTATAAGCAGGCCTTTTACATGGATCTGCCTCATGCTGTCGTGGGTTGAAATCACTTTTTTGAAATGCAATCCTCTTTTCTCTTCTCTTAGAAATTGATTCAACATTTTCTTTTCTGCACCAGGTGTCAGTAAAGTATGTCCTTCAGACTAGCAGCTGAGATCTTCACCTGCTTGAAAACATATAATTATTATATCCTGCTATTATTACTCTTCTTAAAAATGATAGTTTTTTTTTTAATTGAAGATTTGGAAAGCTAATGCTTTAAAAAGCACTGACTAGCACAGTAGAGATATTGAAATCCGATAAACTGCTAAAGGAGGGTGTGCGGAAAACCGCGCAATTTTTTTCTTAGTTGGATATGAGGAAACGATAAAAATAAGGGTTGAGGAAAATACAAAAAATAAATTAAGAAATTTCTCAACTACAAATAGAATATTTATAATCACCACATAGAAGACACCAGTCCTCAGCCCTCAACCTCTCCACCTACTCACAGCCTTCCCACACCTTCACCCCGGCTTCGCTTCAACCCCATCGCGGGCGACAGGCAGGCACCGTGGTGGTGCGCTCTCCCTACCCTCCCATCTCCAGGGCAATCCAGCGCCTCCTCTCCCAAGTACCAAACCAGCGTCCGGAGGGTCAGTCCCTCCCGCGCCCTCCCCTACCTGTCAAGAAGGAGGAAGCCAGAGACATTGGGACCCCCGAGCAATTGAGGAGCAGCAAGACGCAGCAGGTAATCCCAGGCGAGCGCCGGCAGGGACGCTCAGCCAGAGCCCTGACGCCGGAGAACCAGAGCATCGTCACCTGGAGGGAATCCCGGGCGACTGCAGGTCCCGCGCCGCCGCCTCTGCTCCGCTGCCGCCGCTCGCAGTCAAAAAGGGCTTTCAGCCGGCGTGTCGGGAGACAGTCCGCGAAGGAGGGAGGCGGGCGCCCGGGAGCCGGGCGGGAGCGGGCGGGGGAGGGGGGAAGGGGGAGGGGGGCGAGGCGAGGGGTTGGGGGCGCCCAGGGAGGAGGGGTCCTGCGGCCAGGATCGTCCAAGGCAGCTTTTTCCTCCCCTAAGGGAGTTGCTTGCCGCGGGTTAGGAGTCCTCCCCTCCACTCCAGAGAGGGGCCGGGAGGAGGGGATGTCAGAGCGGCCAGAGATAGACCGAGAGGAGCGGCAACGCTGCCGAATGCGCACAGCSGGTCCGCCGCCAGCGACCGGTTGCAGCTACTGCTCCCGGCGCAGCGGCTGCAGCTGCCGGGGCGTCCTCCACTCCCGCACTCCGCAGCTCCCGCTGGTCCTACCAGCCCTCCGGCGCGGGAGAATTGGACGCACCGGGCACCTCCCGGAACCCGCTGGGGGCGCCCGGGCACAGGAGAGCTGGATGATACCAGCGCCTAGGGCACGTCTCGACCCAGCGTCCAGCTGGTTCCCCARCTCCTCTGGAAGGCCACCCTCCCCAGGGCGCCCATCCGAGCCGGGAAGGCGCGTCTCCACTGCCCAGGGCGATCGCAGCCTCCTCCTTTTCCTGAGTAGCCCTCCCCCCCACCGGGGATGCCTCACCACCCACGCTCGCGCCGGGGTGCCCTAGCCCTTTGAGGAAAAAAATGGGGCTCAGGGGCGCCTCAACACCTCTGCTCAGCCCGGGTATCCCGSCTTTAGGAAGGAGCAAGAAACCGGACGCATTAGTCTCCCTACAACTTTTCCCACCCCGTTTTGTTTCTCTCTGGAGAGGGAGAGGCACCAGACTCGCGCGGCTGAGCAGTCGGAGAGACGGGTGTTCTTAGAGATCAGTGCTCTATGTGCTTATGTGTCTGAGAGCCTTGACACTGGGGAAGACAAGTTGAAACCACACGCAAGGTCGATTAATAAACGGACTGGGGCAGACAAACGCCTTTCGCCCTTAAAAAGAGGAACAGTCACTCGGAAACTCCTCCCTTCCAACCTCGGGTGCACTGGGGCGGGGAGGTGCTATTGGACTAATCATTCATTCACCCGCGAAAGAGGGAGGGATCCGCCGTGCGGTCCGGCTGCTAATCTCTAGCTGGGGCCGCCGCTGCGGCGGCCTCAGCTGCTGCTGGGTGTGCAGTCTCCTCTGCTGCCCGGGCTGCAACCTTCTTGCTTCTGCAGCCCTGGTATCAGGGAGTCCGATCCTTTGATCCTAGCAGCTGAATGGAGACCTCCCACTCAAGCAGTGGCACCCTTTACTCAGAGATGCAGTCCAGGAGAGGAGAATTTTTGTAGCTATATTATAAAGGCGTGAGGTGGGTAAGGGACGCTTGGCAAACGTTGGGGCCTAGTGATCAGCTGTGTCTGGGGCCCATTAGGGAACACAGGCTTCTGCTCTTCCAAGAATGGGCACAAGGTACCCGCACGCCCATCCTCCCAGCGGCAAATCAGCCTGAATAGATCCTAACAGCAAATCATTGACAGGCCAAGCATTTCCCCGCGCCGACCYCCCTACCCCACCCCACCCCATGGGACTGGAATGGACCTAAGAGTCTCCAGGCAAATGTGTGGGCTGTTTTTAGTCATAGAAACCGTATCTTCGAAAGTAAATGAGTCTGTTTGCTTACATGTTTCTTCTAGCTTCATCTTAACACTTCCCCATTTTTGTTTTTGTTTTTTATTTTGTTTTGTTTTGTTTTGGCGTTTTGATTCCACCACCACCACCACCACCACCACCACCACCACCCCAGTGATTTGGTGGATTCGCTTAATGAGTTTGCATTGCCAACATCCCAACACAACAACCAGCTGATAGGAGCAATGATGTGGGGAAAGTGAGAGAAGGGAAAGCTGTCATTAGCTTAACATGCTCCATTTCCCTCTCAAAACAGATTTTTCAGTGTGAAACTTAAATTAAAAGAGAAAGGAGATGATGTGGTTGCCGGTTTTCCCCCAAATAATGCCATGGCCAGGCAGCTTCTTGAAAATCCATGTATTTAATGTATTTACTAATCATACAGAAAGATAACTTACAAAAAAGAAAAGAAACATCTCTACACCCAGATTTTACTTCCTGCAATAACTGGTTTTAAATAAAACATTTAATGTTGCAGATAAGTACAATCAGTCAAAACCACTACCTCCTCTATGGTAAAAAAGAAAAAAGAAAAAAAAAATCTCCCTGGATAGTTTTTAGATCAAATTGTTATTCATGACTTACTTAAGGAAAAGTGAATAATCTAGAGTTGGGAGAATTTTTATTCCCTAGACATCAGTAGATTTGAATAAACACATACTATAGAATTGCAAGACATCCAAAGCATGTGCGTGTATGTTTGATATGTCTTCCCTGGCAGCCGTCACACATCCTCACAGTTTACATGAAAAATATCTATCTTTATGATGGAATTTAGGTACTTGTGGCATTTCTGTAACAGGTGGCATGGTGCTTTGGGATGCACTGGAACTTTCCCCGTAAGTGTAAATTCAAAAACCACCTGGAAAACATTTTCATCTGCCTGGAAGTTTGCAAATGGGAAAGATCTACAGAAGCCTTTGGCAAGCCTGGCTTTTCTTCCTGTTTATTATAATGTGCTGCCCTCTTCATAAATGGGCCCTACTTCTTAAAAAGCGGCTTTCCCCCAAAGAGATTATCAGAATGTTTCCCCATGCATCTACAGTTGCTGCAACCACTCTTAAAGTGTCAGCGTATGCCTATTGGTCTCTGCCCATTAAGACTGAGTTAATTCAGGGGCCAAAAGAAAACACCTGCACTGAAAGGCACATAGATCTGTGTTTACGTTTAACCCAAAAGGTTGTACCATCCAAATGTCGTTCACTATAATCAAAAGGAGGGGGAAAAAATGTATGTTTGACTCTGATTACAACTTCTTTCAAAGGTAAAGAGGCAATGGAGTGCAAAGACCAGTTTAACTCATGGCCTACCCCAGGCTCAGGTGGACAAAGTGCTGTCTCCTCTTGCWCTCTAAAATGTGTAACTCAATCATACAGAAAGGGAGAGAGGCCTGGGGTCAGAGAAATTGTCTTCAACTCTTCTCAAATCTATGATGCTGACTTCTCACTGAAAAATTCAACTGAATATACAACTTAGTAATGTGATTTTAAGTCCCAAAGTTACTTCCAGAAAAATCACTTCAACCCAGCTTCCCCAAAATAGAAATAAATAACCTTTCAACAAGGAACCAGGGTAAAGAAATTATGATACCAACCACCAGGGGAGGGAAGGAACCTACCCTAACCCTCATGCATTTATGACACCAGGCTAGGCATGTAGACTTGATTTTAGACTTGATAAAGGATCATGTCATGAAGGAGCTAAAGGTCTAGCAAAGGGGATAAAGCATGCTTATATAATATGTGCAAGGTAGGAAGTGAAGATGAGCGGAGGCATAACCTGCCTTGATAATCTAAAAAACAGAGATCAAGCTTCCTGGAGGAGGTGGCACCAGGAGCTGAGCTTGGAATGAAGGAAGGGCAATCTGGGAAAAGGCGGAAGTAAGAATAGAGACACACAGGATTTCCAAAGAAAATGGGGAGCAGTAATTCTATTGGGCCTATCTGTTGACTGGGCAGAATCTGATGGGAACCATGAAGATGGTGAGGAGTGTATGGATAGCATTTGAGGGATCAACCCCAGATGACCCACAAGAAAGGGAAATTATTTCTTTAGAAAGAAAATTATTTCTACAGGTGTATTCAGCAATCTGATCATGATTCAGTGCTGATCATGATACAGGAGTGCACCATTTCACATGCTTGAAAGGTATGGGCGATCGAGTGGATGATGCACATATATCGTCTTTTCTCAACATCTTAAGCAGTGGTTATATGAGTCTTCTTGGGATGAAAATAGAAWTGCTACTTTCAGTGGGGTCCAGTGGCTCATGCCTTTAATCCTAGAGACTTGGGAGGCTAAAGCAGGAGGATCACAAGTTTCAGGCCAGCCTCAGAAWCTYAATGAGATCCTGTCTCAAAATTTTAGAAATAGAAAGGACTGGGGATGTAGCTCAGTGGTAATGTGCCCCTGGGTGGGATCCCCAGTCCCCCACCCCATCCAAAAAAGAAAAGAAATGCCAATTTCAACTATTTTCTTAAAGAACTGCAGGTCTTAGAAATCATATAAACCTCCTCTTTGTCCTTTCTCTTTCAAAGTCAGAAATCTAAAGACTTAGAGGGAAATGATTTGTCCAGGGTCACATGGTTACTTAATGGCATAGCCCAGTTAAACAGAGTTCTTCGGGCTCCCTGATGGTGGTGCTTTCCATTACAGATATTCTGCCTTCTTGGATTATGAGTCATAAGAATTATAGGAAAAGACCATGGGATATTTTAGATATGATGCAAATTAAAGTTACAGAGCTGGCGTGATAGCTACTCAAATATTTATTGAACTGAACTGGAACCAACTATACAAGTTGTAACACCATAAAAAGCAGACCACAACTGAGCTCATCAGTTGAACAGGGAGTTTATTCTTAGATCACTAGGCTAGAATGTGAAAGAACTGCACTCTCTTCTGTGCTTTRCTACTAGTTTGCTTTGTGTGTCATCATTCAGAGACAGCTAGGCACCAAATGAGGCTAG